GGTTGCTGAGATGAAAGTGGGTGACAAAATGCACTCGCTTTCCGTACACACACACACACACACACAAACAAACACACGCACACACACATACACACACAGGCAGCCTCTCGAAAACATGTGTTTTTGCTGGTAGTAGCAGCGCTATAGCGCTGCACAGCAAAAACGCATAAAAATTACTTTAACGACTTTAACTCCTACGCCCAGTCCATTACCACAATGATTGAACTAGTCATGAAGAAACTGGTTGTCCCCCTGATCAGTCAAGTCCTCTACCCCCAGAATAAGAGTGCCACTATTTGCCACTGCACCGTATCCGCTCGGAATAATATAAGTAAATACCGATAATGAAAAGCGTTATATTTTCAAACAGTTGAGATCTTTGGGCTAATTAGTTTTGCTACCATGTCTCCTGAGGAACCGCTCAGCTAAAGCGTCAAATTGTTCCTATTTTAGGGAAAGCACACCAGAAGCCGGTCAGATCACATCGCTGGACATTGATTCGCTGCAGAAACTGCTTCCAGCAGTGGATGTGAGCAGCTTCGTATCCAACTACACGGCGCTTCTTAGCGAAGACGGCCGGATAAGTAAAGACCAGTGCTTACCGAATGAAATACCCTGTGATGAAAGCACACCGTACCGTCGTTATAACGGATGGTGCAACAACTTGAAACAACCTCATTTCGGAAACGCTTTCGAAACTCTGATTCATCTACTACCTCCCGCATACGACGATGGTTCCTGGTTCTACCTTCTTTTATGATAACTTTCACTGCGACTATGCGAGAAACTAAAATCCAACGGGCAGAACATGCTGCTTGATTTGCCAACAACTAGTGGACGTCGTTCATTTATGAATAGTACCCACTCTACGATTCATTTTGATAGTAAATTGGTACCGGCAAATGCCGAAGAGACAGACCTGCCACCAGTTTGCTTATAAGCAACCCTCAGAAAAGAGAGCCATCGATACCCTCGTCAAAGGTTGCCTGCTTTTGTTCCTCACAAATGCCTCCGCCTCCCATTGAGATGGAAAAACAGAGAGGGTTATGACATTTTAGTTCGAGAGAAAGTAACGATCGGTTGTGCGACATTTAAAGAGGTGGCGCGTCTACATCGAGCAGGTGGTGTATACTAACTAGAGGCATAAATCCCAGGACCGAAGGATCTGGCATAGCTATATCCGATACATGTGAGCATCTCCAGTAACATGAATGAAGTGAAATATCCACGCAAAAAAAATACCATTATTTGTTTTTTGCGCCCAAATCAATCATTTTGAGGATTTGACAATGCGCGAATCCATGCCAAATCCGGAAAACTACTGCCGTCGGCACGTGTCATCTCCAGTGCTGTGCATCACAGTAGAAATATCACTCATACAAGATTTTCTCACATGCTAATGCAATTCGGCCAGTTCATTGATCACGAACTAACACATTCACCTGTTGCAAGAGGTGTTTTCATTTATTGCTAACTTCTCCTAGTTCTTTTGCACCTTCACTATCTGCACTTTTAGGGTCAACCTGTATGCTGCAATTTGCCCAAATCTGGAATATACTGATATCAAAATTTCCAAGAGCATTTTGGAAATCCTTCGTCAGAAAATGATATCACTGTCGGTGTTGGGGTGGACCCAAACTGAGGCATACAGTTAGGATGAAGTGACCTGGAGATGTGTGGACGGTCCAGTTACATCACTGGCACAGGATCCTCACACCGACTGGTCGGCCCTGGTATTTTATATAAGTTGGGATTTTGTGCTGTAATTGTTCGAAGATAATTCATTGTTAAGACGGTTCACTCTGTAATTCAGTTATAGTTTAGGTATATGCAGTACTATGTTTTTAGGTCCAAATGGCGAAATCTTGAACTGCACTCCTTGTGATTCCCACGAAACTATATCAGTTCATTGTGCTCCAATCGAAGTGCCTGATGGTGATCCATTTTTCCCAACACATTATCCAAACGGAGAACGACGTTGCCTACCGTTTGTGAGATCGCTGTTGGGGCAGCTTACACTTGGCTACAGAGGCCAGATAAATCAGGTTGTCAGTCAGTCACCAATTCATTTCAACATTATCAAAACGATATGTACGATAGTGCGGTAAAAGAAGTATTTTCAAAAGCTTTTCTCCTCGCACAGTTTATTTTTTCCGAGGCAGACAACTGCATATAACTTTTTTTCGGACTGGGAATGTGAATACGAATACGAATTTATTTTGAGAACTAATATAGGTTGATTTCTTGCAAAGAAGGATTGAAGGTATAACTAGAAAGGAATATTTAGGCCCATGAAGTCGTATGGACTCCTTTTTATCAAAGCAACTGCGCTCATTAATGTTCATAGAGAGTATATGTCTAAAATCTAATTTTTTGTAAACAAACTTTTTGTCATTTAAATTGCAGATCACAGCATTCATTGATGGCTCAGCTATATATGGCTCAACAGTATGCGAGAATAACTTGCTTAGAGAATTTGAAAGAGGCTTATTAAAGTCTTCCATGCTAGGATTAGGAAACGTCGAAGCGCTGCCTCATGGAACGCAGGTGAAGCATTCACTTTCATTTTCTTTTTAACCCGTTTTAGCTAGCCATTTGTGCAGCTGATAATTCTGAAGAACCAAACAGAATGTAACTGAAAACAAACTGACTGTAAAAATAAAATTTTTTGGCCAGTGCAGACTGAATCAAACTAATTTTTTCAAATTATTTTTTTTTGTCTATTTAATGCAGCAGCATTAATATTCTTTCGTTTGTCTGTTTAAAGGGACGATTTCGATGTCAGCATTAAAATTCTTTTTTCGCTTGACTTCTTTCGGTTTGAGTTCATAATTATGCTGATGCTATAATACTAAAACAATCTGTTTAGAGCCCAAACTCTTTTCGGGTTTTTTCACCAAACACAATAAAAATCCTAAATTCTTATTAAAAGTTTGCATAGCTCTGCAAATTCGGCCCATGTTCCGACTCTAGAATGAACAGGCCACATTTTCCTTTAAATTAAAAGCGAACATTCAAAGCGAGTGGGTTTGCATTGCGCTAGTCTGCCTCGTTTACGCATTACAAGCCCATTGGCTATGCAGTGGATACTGACCAAGCTATCCTAATTACTAGAATTTAAGGAGAAAGATTGCCGTTCGCTTCCGCAATATCCGTGTTTCGATGCTGGTGATGAGCGAAACAGTCATCAGCCCGGACTAACTTCCATGCATACCATATTTCTAAGAGAACATAACAGAATTGCCTACTCAT